TATACTCAAAAAATCAGTATACTCGACTTGAGAGACTTTTGCGTCGAATGGCTAAGATAAATGGTCGACAACATATCGATTGGTATCCTGTATTTCAGGAATTATTAAATACACAGTTGTCTCCGACAGTCAGACAGAAACAACTAACATTTACTCAAACGATTAAACAATTTGTATCACATTCAACAACGATAAGACGTATTCTAATCGTTGGATTCATTGCTTTTACGGAAACGTTACTGTATTATAAGATATCATATGGACTTGCCACGATGAAAATTTCTCCTTATATTGGTATTTTAATTGGAGCAATTGTGGAGGCACTTGGTTATATTACTGCCACTGTATTCATGTCAACACGATTGGGTCGTAAATATTCATTTATCATCTTTACAGGTTTAACAAGCGTATGTATTCTTATTATTCCATTGATAATTAAGCATAGTACTCTGGCTACAATTATTATATCACAAACGGGCAAGTTTGCTATATCGGCATCGAATTGTATCACTGGAGTCTATATAGTAGAACTATTTCCAACATCCATCCGAAGTAGTACGAATGGCTTTGCCGTTGCCGTCAGTCGTCTAGGTGCAATCACAAGTCCTATCATTGATGCGTCTATTCACGAACAATACTTACCCATCACATTCTATGTCTGTGCAGCCTTGACACTAATATCAGTTTTACTAAGCTTAGCCTTGCCAGAAACGAAGGATAAACCATTGGATGATATGATTGAATTTACAAACGGTACACATCTTTAAATATTAAAGAGTTGAAATTTTCAATTTCAACACGACATATCTCATAAACTCATTCTGTTTATCAACTTGAAATGGCGGATTCACAAACGTTTTGATTAACTTGATTCTATAAGATGTTTATAAACATTTGATCGTTCAGGAAGCGTTTTCTAAACTCTTAACACGACTGACCTGAGATAGCCAACATTGAGGTATGTGGGTATGGTTCTGATTGAAGACAAGATCACACGAACACACTCACATTCAAAACATATAAAAGTTTTGGCATTTGTTTGTTTTATGTAAACATTTTTGTTTTGTACGACTTTTGAGGATAAGGATTGTTTATATGCACTAAATTTGTTCCAGAACTAAATATGCCAATCGATAGAGCGAACTTCACTCTATAAAACTGCATATTTAGTTCTGGAACACATCTAGTGTATATAAACAACCATTACCCTCAAAAGTCGCAAAAAGAAACATGTTTAAGTAAAGTAAACTTATGCCGTTTATGTGTCTAAACATATGGATTTCAGTGTGGTGTATCAGATGATACAATCAGATTTGGTCATTTTGAATTTCATGTTTAAAAAATGCGAATGTATTGCAAATCATGTTTTTTAAAGAACATAGGGAAAAAAGTTGGTCTAGTTCAGTTTTTTGATTATTACAGTAAAAACATAAATGAGGATGCTTTTTTAGATCTTCATCAGATAGAAGACATTTTTGCTACAAAGTAAAGAGTTTTGGAAGTTCCGATCAATATTTTATGTTTAAAACTAAAAAAAAACTCGCCATTTTCAAGCAAAATTAGGTAATTTTTGGGGAATGTTTGAGGTCGATCTACCATAGGCTGCTAACAGTGGATCCTTACACCGCAATTATTTTGGATTATTCTATGGTATACCAAGGCTTAGCTTGCTATAGAATCAGTTTCAGGTTCTCTTCAACACCATATTTTTCGATATCCCAAAATCTTCAGTTTTTTCGTGAAGCGTCTCATAACATACGTGATGATTAAAAGCCTCAGAAACTGTCAAAACCAATCGTATGATGTTTTGAATCTATCCACACAATTCTTATATGATCTATGAGACTATTTATCCACGACTTGTATGTATTTTGCTACACATCTTGTCACAGCGTTAAATCTTGTATATTATTGAATTAATTTTCTTTGGAATCATCTATCTAATGCAAAGCCAACTGATCAAACCCTTAAGCAAGGGCGAAACCAGTCTTGGTATGCTTAACTCAGCCACTTTCATTCTCAACTCTAAGTATATTTAAGCATTATAATAAAATACTTGTTCTCAAATCACAACTTCTAGACAACTGGGCGAAAAAAACTTTTGTAGTATCCTATAATAAAATAAAAAATAACAATAATGATCACCTTTTATTTAAATGTGAAAATACAATACGTTGATGCAAATCAATTTTGAATGTGAATATAAAGTTTATCGTTTGTAAATTTAAATTTATTTATTCTAGTAGATGATAGTGAAGAAAGCCAATATTCAAGTTCATTCCGATTTTCAACAATTTTCTTTTCCAAAATATTTCTAGGTATTTGTGCTTGATATTTTTCGCAATCAATTACTAATTCATTGATATTTATCAATTGATTTAATATTTTTTGTATATTAATACAAAAATCATCTTTCGATTGATTCAAATTTTTTTCAAATTTTTTTATGGATCAAAAGTTTTGTAATAAGTCAAAAATAACTTGACAATTATCTGTCCATAGTGATGAGTCCAAAAATATTAATATTAATTCATTGATGTTAATCAGTTGTTGTCTTATGCGTGGCAATGCTTGAATAGAAAGTAACTTTAAACAGACAAGCTTAAGTGACATTATGAGTAATCCATTCAATAGATCGATGCATGTTTCATGTAATGTTAGGTAATTAATTTTATTCAGAACAACAAAATGTTGAATATCACCAATAATTGTTGATAGATCTAAACTTTTGATCCGACCTTGAATATCTAAATTGCTTACATTTGAAAATACACGATCTAATTTCGTGTATGGTTGATCTTCGTTAATACCTATACAAAGAACATTTGCTTCTAATTACGCAACACTAAAGATCAATCATCCATGTCTGCGAGCATGTGCAACAATTCGCCGAAGATCTGTTGCAATCTTTAATGAAAGATAGTCGATAAAAGTGACTGTATCAATTTTGAAATCTCCATGGTTTATGGGATCCTTTTTTTCCATAGGTTTTACTTCATGTTTTTTCTTTTCTTTCTCTGTTTTACTGGAAAGTCAATTTTTAAAGAAAATTCGTACTCTGACTAATGTCGATGTGCTAAGTCCGCTGCTGTTGCTTTTCAACATAAACGTAACTACTTTGTTGTTGAAATAAGCTAATGCATAGCCGTTAGTCATTCATACTCTTCACAATGTTTTCTACGGTTTCCCTTCCAATGTTTCCTCTCAACACTTTTCATTTTCTTTTGTTCAGAAGTTTTTTTCACATTTTTGATTTCACGCTCATTTCTATATACTTCTCGATTTTACAGTGTTTATTTTCTGGTTTTGTTTCTACGAAATGCAGGTTCATGGTTTATTGTATAACGGGCACGCTTTCTCGAGAAAATCGGACAACCATAGTAACTTAAAATAACAAATATTGTCATGAAGTTAACGTTTTTAGTTTTCGACAGCTTCAATAAGAATTTGGTTTGAAATTCCTGGCCTTCCTCTCTCAAAAACACAGTACTTTTTGCAAAAAGACCATAATAATCTAAGCATGTCATCAATAAGCCCATGGTCTATTCTGTCAGAATTCATAATTATGTATTCTTCACTAAAGAGGTATGATGATTTCTGTAAAAGCCTTGAAAAACTGACTGCTCGAAAAATCTTACTTCCGGATATTGTAGAGCAGACATGTTTCGACTTCGAATAATGTTTTAATCATAAGTTACGAGAACTTTGCTGAAGTCCTAGAATGTACCAAAAAATTTCTTTTTTCATTTCTTTCAAAACTTCTGTGTCTATATGTCTACAACGCCATTCAACTACTTTATGAGATAGAGGCAATTTTTCTTTGTTTGAATGTTTTTTCATAGAATTTCGCAATTTCATCAAACGTTTTGACTTCATATATGTGTCAAAGAGTCAAAAAAGAGGAAACTCAAAACAAGATGCTCAAGAGTGTAGGTGTGACTGTGGGTGTGGGTGTGGGTGTGGGTGTGGATGGCGATTCAATAATAAACCCACACCCACACTCGCACCCACATCCATCCACACTCACATCCACACCCACATCCTCGGTTATATTTCCTTAATTATTAATTAATATTTATGAAAATTTCGATAATTTTGGAATATATTAATTAATTAGTACATGGTCTTCTAATAGGGCGTTTGAATTTTTGCTTGGACATGGCCTTATACAGGAGGTGGCTGTCTATTTCGAGGGGGGAGGGGGTATGACAATTTAGTGATTCTTGCATCTTCTTTATTATAGAATGTACCTCAAAGAAAAATAAATAATATTTTTCTTGACTAGAAAAAGAAAACTCTGGCTTTTGACTTTTTTATTTCATTTTCTTTCCTATCTCTTATATTTTAAATGCATCAAGAGTAGCAACATATGTGTGCAAAGAACTGCTTGTATAAGAATGATAAAGAATAATAGAGAATATGAAAAAGCAAATTTTATGTTTGAAAGAACAACGTACCCGTAAGACAACAATCCTTACACAGTGTCACTTGAAGCTCAAAAGATATCAAACATGCAAAGTAAATTCATGCTGATGACGACGGATTAATTTTTTCGTATGAATTGACATGAGTATGTATACTTGAAAATTTATGAAAGCTTGATTTTTTTCATTACTCTTTCGAGGTGGATTGACATAGTTATGAGTTTGTGGGGTTTGGATGAACCACAGATCCACACCAATGACGTCTAATAACTGATTCTGAAAATAATATATTCTAGGTGAACAACGACAATCATCTCGATTAGATTGGGCTGGATCGTCATGTACAAGATGGATACAGATATCACTATTGTCATGGGTAACGCCTATTCTCTCCTTAGGTAATAAACACACACTTGTGGAGAACAATCTTAACGATCTTGCTGTGAACGATAAATGTTCAGTCTTGTTGCATAGAGTGAATCATGATCGTTCTCAATGGCAAGGTACATAGGATGTATACATGCAAACATTCTATAAAGATTTTATAATGAGCATATTGCTTGTTTTCCACTTATTATGGCTCATATTGCACAGCCATTACTTATTCGTCAAATTATTCTCTATATTAAGGGTCAATCTGGGTTACCAGTTTACGTAGGTTATCTATTTGCTGTTGGTCTTTGCATTTCTGCAATTTTACAAGCCATTATTCATCAACAAATTCTCTTTCGAAATAGTCGCATGGGTATGCGTGTTCGCAATGCATTATCATCTGCTATCTACAGGCACTTGTTAACCATCAATACCGCAGCTCTTCATAAGACTACTGCTGCTCAAATGGTCAATTTAGTAGCAAATGATGCCGGTAAATTTGAAGAATTAAGCATATTCGTACATACTTTAGTGCTAGCACTTTTGGAAGCTCTTGGAACGTTTGCTCTCGTTTGGTGGTACATTGGTTTACCGACAGTATTTGGCTATGCCGTACTGCTTTTATTAGTACCTATACAGTTTATTTTCAGTAGAAAATTCAGTCAATACCGAAAGACCACCATGGCATGTACAGACAAGTGTGTGCAAATGACCAATGAACTTGTAAATGGATGTCAAATTATTAAAATGTACAATTGGGAAAAAGCCATGGAACAACGAGTACTTGAAGCACGTCGTCGTGAACTTTTGAATATTCACAAGGTGAGTTGTTTGAGAGCTGTCAATACTGCTCTCTCCTTCGCAGCGTTACCTTTGATTTCTCTTGCTACATTCGGTGGTAGTTGGCTAATGGGTCAAACTTTACTTCCAGAAAACATATTCACAACATTAGCCTTCTTCGTCATGGTCCGAGTGTCAGTAACAGTTGGAATGCCGCAAGCCATCGAAAAATTTAGTGAAGCTCGTGTGTCTGCAAGACGAATTGATCAATTTGTGCAACTCAATATATTGTCGAATAAACGAGAAAAAATGGAAAACGAAAACGAAGATTATGTAATCATTATGAAAGATGCATCATTTTCTTGGAACGATACTCCTTCATTGATCTCTGTCAATCTGAAAATCAGAAGCCGTAACTTGGTTGGAGTGAAAGGTGCCTTTGGTAGTGGCAAGTCAACCTTACTCACTGCTATTCTTAGTGAAATCAATCTTGTTAGTGGACAACTACGACTAAAGGTAAATTCAATTTCATATGCTCCACAGTTGGCATGGGTATTTGCTGGCACTATTCGAGCTAATATTCTTCTTGGTAAAGCGATGGATGAAGAACGTTACAAGAATGTAATAAAGGCATGTTGTCTTGATATCGATCTACAAAATTTCAGTGAAATCGGTGATTTATTGATGATTGGTGACAAAGGTGTCAATTTGAGTGGAGGACCAAGAGCTCGATATCGCTTGCTCGTGCTCTATACACTGAGGCTGACTTATATTTACTCGACGATCCACTTGCTGCCGTTGATCCAAAGGTAGCAAAGAACATTTTTGATCAATGCATTGGTCCTCGTGGTCTCCTTCATAAAAAGATTCAAATATTAGTTACACACCAGACACATTTTTTAGTTGAAATAGATCAAATGCTTCTCATGGCCAATGGTCACATCGAAGAACTACCGATTGAACAAGGGCCTGCAATAGACCCATCGAATGATATATCAGAAATAGAATCATCTAACGACAACGAAACAGAGTGGCAATTTAACACTGCGGTAACTGATATGAATTCGATTGTCAAGAGTGAGATATCATCTGACAGTGCCATCAAGTGCAGTATTTGGCTAAAACTGTTTACTTCATGACCTTTACGATGGTTTGGTTTTGTTGGGTGTGGGTATGGGTGTGGATGTGGGTGTGTGTGTGTGTGATATGTCGGTATGGATTTTGATGCTAGTCTGAGTTCTTAGTCCTATCACATTCCCATCTACACCCACAATCATACACGCAAACTCATATGATTATTCACGAACGATAATGATGGTATAAACCATGACCATGCAGCCTAGAAGAATATTTTTAATTTTGAAACGATGGTTAGTGAATTGGAGTGGAACAGCTGTCCGTCAGTTTCCCAATTATTAGAATCGACGCCAATGCTACTAGTTTTTGCGATGATCTGTCAAACTGTATCGGTGTAAAGATAACCTAAGATCAGGGCGATATAAATATCACAAAAAAGTTTTATGGATACAGCTCCTTTGGCACAAAAAAAGGTGGAACTCACCGATTCCCTTGTAGCCTCGATAGATGAATAAGATTGTGAAAAGGGAAAATTTTCCTAAGGATCATACTTTTCTTTTTCAGACGAATCGCTCTTTAGGGCGAGTATTTGTTGAATTCATTTGTACAGTTTGAAAACATGTTCGTCAATCTTTTTGGATGCTGTTTTTTGTTTCTCTTTTTCAGTATGTTTTAGTTTGGTTTTTTGACCTTTTCCCACAAATTCATATTATTACTTTGTTTCCCAATCAATAATTGGTTTCTAACGTCTTTTATGGAAGGAATGATTAAAATGAGGACGTGAGATAGCCTCAATAGTCTTACTTTTTGAACTTACGTCCAGTATTTCTTTCGAAAAATACATAACTTCCAGAAAACTCTAGAAAACGGAACATAAAAGAGTAAGATCGAAAGTTGCTTCGCTTAAATTGAAAAACGACGTGTTTTACATGTCATGCAAAATTTATAATTTTGAATAGTATTCGACAAGCTTGTCGTAGAAATAAACATTTTAAACTGATACCTATCATGTGAAAAAGAATTAGTTGATCAAGCTAGAGAAATAGTGAAATTAGACGAATTTACGTTCCTACTGGAATTTTAGGATACCCTGTATATTATAAATCAAATGAAGATGTCCCTGAATATTGAGTTCGAACTTCATAGTGTTTATCAACTTAGTACGATATACTCAATATATCTGTAAAAAATTAATCTTTGAATTATAGCTCTATGATTAATCCCTGTGTAGATCAAGGTAGTGCAATATAAAATGAGTAATTTGTCCCATATATTCATTCGTCTTATGATATTGTCAATGTAAAAAGGAAGTTTCACCTACCTAGTTTATCAAGCAACGCAATTGATCTTTATACTTTTCAGATTTCTTTTTCAATTAGCTCAAACACATGAAAAAATTCTTACCTTCCCAGGAAGAAGTGAAGGAATTCAGTTCGAATGATTGCCATATATAAGGTGATTCGCAGAGAATGGTTTTTTGTCCCTTTTTCAATAATATTTTTTCGTCGCAAAAAAAGCACAAGAAGGCAACCTTTTATTTTGATGTATTCATTTTATTAGAGAGAAAATTAAAAATAAACATCAATCACCGTACGAATAAAAGCTAATAAAAAAGGAAGCCAGTTTAAAACACATCTCAGCAGTCTACACATTTGAAGAAATCTCAGAGGGAACGATTGTCTTTACTCTATTAGGTTAATGAACGCTGTTTCATATTTCCAAAATAATGTTAAGCAACGAAACGAGAAGAAACATGACTTCAATCAGATAAATCAACAAAAATGCCATAGCCTCAAAACTATCTTATGCTACGTAAGATTATCAATAAATGTGGAATTATACTTTTGCTTTTCTTCTGAAAAGACTTTATCATCAATCATTGATATTTATATATTGCCAATATAATCGATAACAGAGGTTTTACTCGAGTCATAGAACTATCTGAATATTTATTCTAATTCTTCCATAAGCAAAAAACAGAACTTATTTCAACCGCTGATTATTCCAAAATTCACTTTTCAAAATGGACTCCACCTTCTGTTTTTTGATAGTCTGCCAGATGTAGAAGAGAAGCTGTTTTCATTCTGCATTATTACCGTTGACATCCAAATCATCCATCTCTTATGAATAAACAATATTCAAATCGAGTTTTTCTCCTGTTTCTATTTGATCTCATTAATTCAATGTTTCTCTTCTCTTCCAAACACAAAACGAACTCTAAAATTTCATCAATCATTTACGTAGTAATCTGTCTATGCCTCGATTCATCAGAGTTCTTCTACATCGACGGTTCCCTACTCTCAATCCTGCTCACTTCTTGAGAAAGCCTAGAAGGATCACTCAACAATTTAAATCTTAAGCAACGGGTGCGTGGTGGGTGTGGGTCTGATTATAAATAATCACCGGAAATACACCCACACCACATCACCACACCCACACCCACACCCACACCCACACCCACCCAAAAAAAAACTAAATAGGCACTTTTGTAGTTCGTCGTCTGACGATTCTAATAAGATATAACACTTGTCTCTGTCTCTTATCACAAAAAACTGGATAAGTTTGCAAAATTGCCTAGAGATACATGCTTTCAAGCATGTCCGAGTATTCATATTGGATAATATTTTTTAATTCTATCAACTTTAAGTCCTTTCAAAGAACATTTTTCTAGGAAGTTTTAAATGCTAAATTAGAACGTCATATCTTCAAGAATTAGTCATTCGAATTTTTTAAAATTTTCCTCAGCCAAACAGTGGTCGAATCCAAATAGAAAAAATATATTCGTGATCAGCTTTTTAAGCTCCATAAAATCATATACAAATAAACGAGATAAAAGAGATCCACTCCAATTTTGTATTTCCAACAGCGTACGTTTTTGTTCTTTAACCAAAATTCCAGTTAATTATTCTAGTTTTAGTTTCTTTCTGGAAGGTTTATTTCACTTGCGTCTATGCGTGAAAATCGTTTATCGTCCATGTAACGGTTTGCTACGAAGTAAAAACTTGTTTATCATGTATTTTTGAAAGTACTAATATTAAAGAAAACGCGTTTTACACGTTCCAGGAAAATGAGTACCATTTGAGAACCGTAAAAGCTATGGGGATCAGCTTTGTATTATTTTGTAGAAGGATCTACAGACTACATATTGCATAGTTTAGACAAATCGGTCCCTATAGTACTTAACAAAATCGCGACCAACTCTTTCAAAGATTGATGATGAAAAAAATCTGAAACTGCAAGGATTTTGTAGATTTCTTCATAAATATATAGAATACTCATTTACCTTGATATTGGTGAAAACCGCAGCTCTCTAATTCTTTCCGTTGTTGAGTCATTTCAAAAATGGTTACGGTCACTATCTTTTCGGGCAGACGATAGTATTAGCACATCCCTAACACGATTTCTTATGAAAATCTACAGATAGTCTTACAGTACTTTCAATATTGCATCATTAATATCAAATCAACTTATTCAACATTTACATTCCTTATTAAATAATTCATATGAATTAAAATCTTCTTCATGATAACGACTATAATGCAAATCAAAATAGTGTAAAATTTTTATAATTAGATCTACATATACAAAACCTAACTTATATATTATTATATTTAGCTGTAACAACCCAGGGAGTAAAAAAATGAAAAAAATTTCATTTAAATGATTATTTTCAAACTTTTCATCAAAAAAATTTCGTTACTTTAATTATTTTGCAAAAATCAAACTCATCCAGATAGTTTCATTATCTTTGTATCATTTTCATTGCTTTAAATTGTTTATTCTAGAAAAACTGAAATTACTGCATTGATTTCATTTTTTTTGCATGATTTTCATCAGATAATCTTNTACATTTATCGGCATGTTTGCTATTATATTTATCATATTATATAAATATTAAAGAATAATCACACATTATTCATAATATATAAATACTGCTCGGAAGATTATTAAAAAAGTATCACATTTACAAAAATTATCTGTACAAAACTATTTTATTCTGTCAGAAAAAAAAAGATTACTGAAAGACGAAAAAGTATAAAGATTCTTGTTCTATTATTCAATCAAATTCTGTATCAATTTGATCTGATCAACAAAATTTATTACTTTTATTAATATGTTGAGAATATGAGCCTAAAAAAGTCAATAATAAAGTGTACTGACTCATGCAATAGATGACCCTATTTTAGACTCACCGGGTATAAAATGTTCAGATCCGATGGATTCTATCACATTTCAATACATTTACCGTATTTTCAATTTCCTTGGTATGTGACATGGCTTGCACGAACGGGACCAGCCTATTAGATTTCCATCTCAGTCCTATTGTAGATGGAATAGAAACGAATCTTTTCATATCCAGTTCATAAATATGTCACAGATAAAATCGATACAGAACGATAAGAAAATGATTTCAAGCTGTTTCTGCACCCGATCCTATTCTCTTATAGGTTTCTTTGGTCTTGGTCCTACATGTCGCTATCGGTGGGAGTTGTCTATAATCTAAGCATTTATGAGTGAAGACAGATCTCAAAATTGAATTTTATTAAAAAAAGCTTCCCTTCATCAAGATATTAAATTTCGATTTTGTGATTGTGAATGAAGATATGGTGGTGAAGAGATTGAACAATCATCTTGATCATCAGATAATTCACTATTTTTATTCGAAAAATTACCTAGAAATAATAATCAATGTATATAGATAGATTGCTTTTTTTATTCGTTTTAGTGTTTAATAACAAATAAGAAATATATTTCTTGTTTTGGGTAAAGTTAAGTGCCAGTTGAACCTACATTCAGACTTACACGTACATTCGCACCCCAAGCCTGTGGATGCATCTACTAAATATGCTACTAATATCAGTGTTCTTCATTGAACTAACATACAAGAAATGAATGTTGATCAAGAGGATCAAAACTTAGTATTCATCGTTTATGAATTGTCAATGATGACGACAGCCATGAACGGGCATAAAATATTATTTTTATATATTTCACTTTATAGTCATTTTTCAATAAGATAGCGAAGAAGAGACGCAATCGCTGTTTGCCTTGCTGATACTGTTAACAAGTTGTTTATCGTCTTCCATTTTAGTAATTTTTGAGATGTGTAAAATTACTGTTAAAGTTAGCTGTAATAATATTATTGCGTTTGTGATGAGTTACCAATGTTGACGCATGTCGACGCAAAGTTTGGACCACAACATGATGAAGTATGCACTATGAAAAGATAAAAGATGCCTGATGAATAAAGAATATTGTGTCAAGTGATAAGAGTGCACTGACTTTCGAAATGGCTGCCTTGGTTGATAACCTATGCAATGTAGAACAGAAATCTATCCCACAATCATTACCAGTAACTACTTCAACAACTACATCTTTAGACGATGTCATTCATCAATGTGGAGGATTCGGTCGATTCCAGTTACGTCAGTATTGCTTTCTTAGTTTGATACAAATTACGGCTGGTCTTGCCGCTTTTTATTATGTTTATGGTGCAGCTGAGCCCGATCATCGATGCCGTCTTGCACCATCACTATGGCCAAATGATGACACATATACTCCTATCAATCGAACACATGCTTTTTTTCTTCAACTTTACATTCCAGCGAAGGAGGGAAAATGGGATCAATGTAACTTATTCGACTCTTTGAATATGAATAAGTCTCTTATTGAATGCCCGAATGGATTGGTTTTTGATCGAACTATTTATGGTTTCACATTTACAGAAGCAATCGGTCTAGTATGTCGAAATAAGGTAAAAAAGAGTCTGCTTACCACGCTCATGCAAGCTGGCGGATTGCTAGTTCTAATAGCTGGGATATTGGCCGACAAATTTGGTCGTAAACGGACTACTCTCGGTGCGAGTATCTTACTCTTTTCTATCTGTTTCATCACGCAGATTACAATGCAATGGATTCCCATGCCAATCAACCTGAAGTAAGCATCTTGTTTTTACTTGTGTTACTGCTGTAAATTAGCTTAGCTTCACTCCATGTTCTTGTCGTACTATGAATATAACATGATGTACTTGAGAACATAATCAAAATTTGTTCACATTTGAGAATTGTGTAATGTTGACAAGTTTCTATTGTACTCTTATACGATCAAATGCATTGTTAGGAATGTCGATTGATTATTGATTTTGATTTACTCTATAGATAACTACTTAGTATTATCTCTTTAATAGTACTTCTAGTTAAGTTAGCTTTTCAAAGGTTTTATATTTGGTTCAAATGAATTCATGATGTGCTCGATTTTAAAATGAGACCTGTCGAATAGTGATCTTAAGACTTCGTATATTGGATGTTTGATGTATGAAAATAATAGAAATGTTATGAAATTCAGTTTGAACGTTATAAAAGATCTTATTACTTTCAAATATCTCATTCTAATACTGATATTTCATATAGGTTTGGTATTCTACTGATAAATCAATTTACGGCAGGTCTAACGCATCTAACATCTACCATAGCTTTTGTCACAATGATCGAACTAACGAGTTCAAAACATCGTAGTTTTATTGGTAATCTTGCATTTTTATCGTTCGTCTTTGGTGAAATACTAATCACATTATTTGCCTATATTGTTCGAAACTGGCAAAATCTCTTGTGGGCAAATACGATTTTCATTGGAATAGCATTACTTTCGACTTTTTTCACTGATGAATCACCATTATATCTATACTCAAAAAACCAGTATACTCGACTTGAAAAAACTTTACGCCGAATGGCTAAGATAAATGGTCGACAAGATATCGATTGGTATCCTGCATTTCAGGAATTATTAAATACACAATTGTTTCCGATAGTCATCAAGAAACAGTTAACATTTACACAAAAGGCCAAACAATTGATATCGCACCCAACAACGATAAAACGTATTCTGATTACTGGATTCATTGCTTTTACAGAAACGTTACTATATTATAAAATATCATATGGACTCGCCACGATGAAAATTTCTCCTTATATTGGTATTTTAATTGGAGCAATTGTAGAAGCACTTGGCTATATTACTGCCACTGTGTTCATGTCAACGCGATTCGGTCGTAAATATTCATTTATCCTCTTTACAGGTTCAACAAGCGTATGCATTCTCATTATTCCATTGATAATTAAGCATAGTACTCTGGCTACAGTTATTATGTCACAAATGGGCAAGTTTGTTGTATCGGCAGCGAACTCTATCACTTGGATCTATATAGCAGAACTATTTCCAACATCGATCCGCAGTAGCACGAATGGCTTGGCTGTTGCCGTCAGTCGTCTAGGTGCGATAACAAGTCCTATCATTGATGCATCGATTCACAAACAGTACTTACCCGTCACATTCTATGTCTGTGCGGCCTTAGCACTCATATCAGCTCTGTTGAGCTTAACCTTGCCCGAAACGAAGGATAAACCATTGGATGATATAATGGAATTTACAAACGATACACATGTTTAGATGTTAAATAGCTGAAATTTTCAATTCAACATAAAATATTTCATAAATTTATTCTCTTTATCGACTTGAAATGACCGAGGCAGAAACGTTTTGATTAAATTGATCCTATGAGACACTTATGAACATTTGATCGTTCAGGAAGCATTTTCTAATCTCTTAGCAAGAATGACCTGAAATAGTCAACATTGTGACGTGTGGCAACTTCTAAAACGATTTAAAATAGTTTTTTTCTTGCAGGACATCAGAAAAGTTTTCGATTTCAATGAGCAAAAACCAAAAAAAATTCGATGACCGACAGGGGCACAGCTACACGTACACTCTCACTCACAGAAATCGATTTAATTTTGTGATGAATTTTATGTTAGATCTTTATTATTATTATTCTTTATTATAAATAATAATTCATGAACTGTCAATGCCCAATTTTTACTTTTATCAAATCATACTCTACCCGTATACGTAGCAAAATAATAGACTAGACATTTCCTTTTAATTATTTGTTGCTTAGAAAAATATCTCATTTTCATATTCAAGTCTTTAAGTTAAAATTGTATTCCGTTAAACTATGAAAAAAACTCGATTGATTATTATAGTAGTTTTTATCTAGTTAGGTTTCAAAATCTGTATAACTTTACTATTAATGGGCGTTAATCAACGGAAATCGAATATAACACAATATCAAACAGCAATAGATCTTTTTTTCTTTATTGAAAAACTTGTTTTAGACAGGCAGTTATTACAGAGCACGATAAGCATGAAAAGAGAAGTTGTTCAATGATTTAACCAACCATGATATAAATTATGATATTTCCATTCGAGACAAATCAAAATGAACTATGTACGACGGCGGCGATCACGAAACGAACTGTGAACACAGTGTGATACAATTCGTTTGACAAATACAAAAAAAAAATACTTCGGTAAACTTCAACCGGTAGAACAAATGCACATAATACAGAGATCGATGGTAAAAAGCCGACCAGATAAGTGAATAGGCTG